TGGCAATACCAATATGGGGTTATAATGTTACACGCGAAGCACGTGGTTGGTTCGGAAAACAAGATTTTCTCATTGAGCTATGGAATTGCATTCGAAATACGGTCCAAAAAGATGAGTGGTAGAAGTTAAAAGGTCGTTGAAGAAGGAAAGACATCGAGGATTTCAGCATGGTCATGAAAAAATGATCAGTACTGGTACGAAGAAGAGTTGAGAAGAGCGGAAGGGGCCAAGGAAGCTGCCAAGGGGTTCAAAGATCCAAACTGTTCAAAGACAGCCGAGAGGGTATTATGAGCAGGCTGCAAACCACCATCGACCCATCCACCGAGGAAGGAGGTGCAGTCGCTGTTGATGAGGACGCGAGAGCTCTGGTTGTTGATGGAAAACTTCTCGTAGTCGTAGAACATGGCCGAGATATCGTCGTCCTGTCCGGGCAGTCCAAGGGAAAAGGCACCATAGGAGTAGCGATCAAGAGGCCAGTGAATGAGGTAGAGGTCGTCATCGGTGACGGGAGTGAGATAGTCGGCGTACTGGGCGTAGTCGGTTTCCTGCATGATTCTGGCGACTTGGGTCTTGAGGTCTGCCAGGAGCTCCTTAGGGTCCAAGATGGCCATCATCTGCAGAGAAAGGTCTTCCCAGGCATAGGTGACAAGGACCATACCGTAGTCAGGATGGCCGTAGTCGAGAGTGTAGGTCTGGGGCAAGTTGGTGTCCGAAAGAATGACACGAGGAAATCCAGCAGGCTGGTTTTCCCAGAACTTCTTGGTGCGAATGAATAGCTTGGAAGAAGCCGTCATGTGCAGGTCGTTGATACCCCGCTGAACTTCGTTCGAAAGAATGGGGTCCTCGGTGGTCTCCGAGACTGGAGTGAAAGCATAGGTCATGGCCCTGTTGCTGGTTCCGACGATGACAAGGTCATACTCGGTGTCCGTGGTGCCAGACGATGTGGTCTCCCGGACGCCGACGGCAAGTCCGCCCAGAGGGTCTCCACCACCGCTTGTAACTTCAGCCACAGTAGAGAACTTGGTCTTAACCCCAAGCTCTGTGGCCTTGTCCCAGATTGTGGTGGCGAGATCACGGATGCCGGCCGGCTGGAGACCGCTGGTGGTGTTCTTGGCAAAGACCGCCTGGTCTGATTCAAGGCCGTTGACCACAAGACGGAAGACGGAGTTGAAGCCAGAGGTGTAGACAGCGCCGAAGCCGCCAGAGCCAATACCCAAGGTTCCAAAGCGTGTGAAGTCATCCTCGGTCCAGACCTCGCCTCCTGGGACGTCCCACTCGTGGTTCTCTCCAAAAATGCGCTGGAGAGCAGAATAGAAGCTGTCATCTCCAAAGGTATCCAGATACTTCTGCCACTCAGGGACTGCCTGAGCTCGGGTGGTAGCATCTGAAGAGCTGAGCCACTCGGTCATCTTGGAGGCCGCCGTCAGAGCAGAGGAACCGCCCTTGGTCAGGCCACCAGAGATGAGTTTGATCCAGCCGTTGTTGACCTTCTCAAACCCAGAGGGGGGAGTGTTCGAGTCAACCCAGTCAGTGGCATTGTTCTCGTAGAAGACGATGGTAGGCACCTTGCCAGGGTCGGGGAAGTTCTGAATGAAGGTGTAGTTGAAAGCATTGGCGTAGTAGTAGAGCAGGTCCTCCGAGGGCGGGAAGCGCATGGCGCCCATCTCAGCGACGTTGACCCCATCAGGAGTTGGGAGGGAACGGAGACGACCCCCAACAGAATCAGTCGCCTCGATCAAGGTGACATCAGCGCCAGCCTTGGCCAAGTTGAAAGCGAGAACCACGTTGGTGATACCAGCTCCAACGAGACCGATCTTGAAGTCCGAGGGGAGCGTACCCAGGGGCTGGTTGATGTCGCCAGCAGCCTGGGGCCAAGCCGAGTAGATCAGCTGAGGGGTGTCGACCCAAGCCTGAGGGCGGGCTTTCTGCTCGGTGGGAGTGGTTGATTGTCTCTTGGCCAGCTGATAAAGCGAGGTTTTCTTGTTGGTAGAGGGGGTGTCACGGACAGTGAGAGGCGCGTACGCAGTGTTCTTCTTGTAGTTAAAAGAGGGAATCATTTAGAAAAGAGTAAACAAGTGCTATCTGTGGGTTTTGAAAGATGGTTTGAGACTGAGTGAGCGTGATGTCTTCAAAAAGATTCTCTCGATGAAGAGGGAGATGTCTTCCTCTTATATATCGATGCTGTGTCGTTGTTGAAACCCGACGTTCTCAAGAAAAGAGAAGGGAAGTGAGCGCAATCATCTTGATGCCGAGTTTGCCGTTTGCCGCCGGATACGACTCTGTCTCGTAGGATTGTTACAATGGTATGCATCTCGAGTGTGCTCACAAAGAAGGAAGCCGCAGGCGCGGAGGGAAATCCTGCAGCTCGAGGGCGTTCGTCTTGCTCCTTGGCTACCCAACTTTCTTTCATCGTGCGGACTTTCTCGGAAGGTAGCCATGTCTCCACTGACCTGGCCATTTTTCTGCTCAGCAGCAATCAGAAGTCCCAAGGATTTGTCGTATGAGGGCTAATGAGCTTTGAATAGAGTTTGTGACAACGCAGTGACGAACCGGCTCTCGAACGAGATCAATCATCGAGAAACACAGGTTGCGTGGACAGAGCCCAAATAGGTATTGGCAAACACTTGCATGGTCCGAGTGAGAAGTAATGAGAGCTCTTCGGGCCAGGATTCAGGCCCGAGTCAGACCAATGCTGCGCAGAAGCTTTCCACTCGACGGGTGCCTATCCGAAGTGGCGAGGCCAGTCCTCCCCATGTTCACAATAATCGCAAGTTGTTTGCGTAGTAGTTGAGCCAATGGCGGGCTCTAGAAAAGTTCACCGTATAGTTCCTTCCATAAACAAGGATTCCATAAGCGTACTTGCGGATTTGAGTGGCCGCACTTGACTGTTTTTGAGACGGCTGATGTACAGCCCAAAAACATGTGTTGATTGTTGAATTGGGAGAGGAACATCACGTTGTGCATAGAAGATGAAGTTGGGCCAAATTGGAATAGAGCCTTACTTTGCCATTAAGACACAACTTACAAGTCTGCTCCGCAACGGCCCCTTCACGCATTCTGATTGCATGAATTCAGCATTCCCATTGCAATAGGAAAAGATTATGCATGTGAGAAAATTGAAAAATTCGTCAATTTAGGAAAAGGGGCAAGGGGTCCGCGAGCACGGTCTGGTAAGGCACATGGCAAACGGCCAGGAACTTGCCCCATTCGTCGCTTCAGCCCCCCCCCCCCCCCCCCCCCCCCTCCAACAAACTCCGAGATATGACAGTTCATCCCATCCCATCGCACGCCCGTGTACTTCTCCACCTTACCCTGGGAACCATTCCAGGTTGAAAAAACTCCTCGGTGGAGGCGGTTCTATACGTGGTCCACAACGGGTAAAGGGCCAGGAAAGACAGGGGCAGGGAGCCCGACAGAGTATGTCAACTTCTGTTTGCGCATTAAGTTATGCAACAATCAAGAAAGAAACGTATGTTATTTCGATTGAAAACAGACGCCCGTTTCTGGAATTTAGAGACTAAAAACCGTAGCACTTAATGATGATTTTCAGTTAACAATGTTATGTGGTATTGTGTCCAGTCAAGGCTAGAAGTAGATGTTCAAGTTATTTGAAGGGGAGTGCGATCTATGAGTGATACTTTCAGTTATGACAGCATTGGTGATGTTCGAATTCAGCGACAATTTGAGCTCATTGCGACGTTGAGCAAACCAAACAAGTACGTAGACTGGACCACGTTTGCGGAGTCGTTAGATGGATCGGTAACTGACAATTTACTCAATAGCAGCGTGGAGTTTCCTAATGTATGTGTAAGCATAGCACTTCGTGAGGAAGGAACGTAGAAGAATCCCGTTCATCGCACTCATCAGATTCACTCTGCATGATTTTCACACGATTTCAACGGCATAAAAAGGACATGTCACTGACTCAGGAGTTCTACTTGTCCCTGGCAACCATGGTCGTTTGGCTTGATTGGTGCCGCTGTAGATTGCGGATCCAGGGGAACAGGGTCACTGATGGGTCCATGCATCGGCCCCTTCCGTGAGGCCCTTTCCGTGATCTCCACTGGGCATGGTTATTTTGACAGCTTGGCGCCATGCCTTACAAGGATAGCCACATGTCCTGCCTTGATCGTCCCTTGATCCTGCAGCGAAAGTTTGGACTTCGTTTGGCAACTGAGGGTCCAGGCAAACAATAGCCCAGCCGCCAGTATAGATTCACAAGGTGTGATCCCAGAATGGGGGCTGGTTGGACAATGAACGACGACCATCTCCGCGGGGAATTCCGTGGCAATTCTCGGATGTTGTCGCCAATAAGTTCACCTCATCAATGAGAACATAGATGGGGTGCCCCACCGCTAGGTCTCTTGAATGTATGAGAAGTTCTTGCAGTGGAGCGATTCCAAATGGCTCCCATGCGAACATGATGATTATTCGGAGCCCATTTCAAAGCCTGTCATCCGCGCGCATCGCTGAAGGGGGCGGGGCGAGGACACACAACATGCCTTAAATGCAAGTCTTCGACATCAGATGCCTTTCAGAGCAAGGTCCGGGAACAAGTAATTCGGCGTAGTTATCCCCACATCCCCAGAGGCTTTACCCATAGCCAGGACGACTACGGCGGTGGTTGACTGCAGGCTATCTGTTGTTATCATCGGGTAGAGTTCAGTGATACAAGGTAGTAAGGCCGATTTCCATTATGGTGGGCAAGTCGACTCGTAATTCCCTCAATATGAGGAATGATTTCCATGGGAACAGGAAAGCTAATTATCGCGTGGAACGGCGCCACTTTGGCCTCTCAATATCCCCAGCTGCAGGTGACGGCAGATTTTGCCAAACTGGAAACATCACATCTCTGCTACAACATTCGGGCCACCCAAAGAAATCTCGGCGATATTAAGCGTCTGCAATGATGCTATAAAACCACCTACGGACGAGACGGTCAGGTGTTCTCTTTTGCAGCATCATTCTCCAAGCATTTAATGGCCATCACAGCCCTTACCATGAAGATGGAAAGCATTCTCTTGCCCCTCGGGCTCACTGCTGCAGTGGCTTTCATGCCAGTACACGGTCTTACATCCCTCAACGGTACTCTTTTTCAATCAACCTTCGTATCAGACGACCAGGACCAAGTCTTCCGTGTCGGAGACAATCAGTATCTCGCCATCACCTCTGGTCCTGTGTCATCTGTTCCTTGTGTTTCGGACCCCTCTCAGGGGCCTATCACATACATATCCGCCCTTTCCGCTGAAACCAGCGGTGATCAGCTTCAGCAGGCTATTGAGAAGGCCTTGGGGGAAGACGACGTCTTTACTGAGGGCTTCCTCGGAAGCGTCCTTGTCAGCGCCAGTGGCTCCGACGAGCTCGATGATTCGGCAATTGCTTATCTCGAAGGAATCGGGTCAACTATCATCTATGCCGGCGCGGATGGACCGACCACTTGTGGCAGCTCAACTCTCATCCCCTGCCCTTTCTTTGCCATTATCGACGGAGAGAGTCTTTGGCTTAGCAAGATACACCGTATGTACGTCGACACGTACAGAACATTCGTGACTGGCGTGTACGAGTCGAATGGCATTTACAAGTCTTTGACGCAGGCGGAGGCCGACTGGGGATATCCCATGATTCCCGTCCCCTCGAGACTTTACAGTACCGAGGATGACAGCCCGTTGGCAGGCCAGCGTATTGGAGTCAAGGACATCTATGATCTGGAAGGTATTCAGACTACTGCGGGTAGTCGAGCGTACGCTGCGGTCAACGATGTCGCGAGCAAGACTGCGCCAGCGCTCCAGCAGATTATCAATGTCGGTGGAGTCATCGTGGGCAAGCAGAAGACAGCTCAGTTTGCATCTCCCGAGAACCCCTGGGACTGGAACGACGCCTCTTATCCTCGCAATCCCCGTGGCGACACCTTCTTGAGCTGCTCTGGCTCCTCTGCTGGAGCTGGCTGCTCCGTTGCCGCGTATGACTGGCTTGACTTTGCCGTCGGTACTGATACTGGTCTCTCGGTCCGACAGCCTGCTGCGTTTTCTGGTACCTTTGGCAATAGGCCCTCACAGGGTATGATTGTCATGGAGAATGTCATTACCAACGCTTTTAATGCCGACACTGCCGGATTATTTGCTCGCGACCCTGCCAAGTGGGCAGCCTTCGCCAAGGCGTGGTACGATCCGTCACTCCACGAGGCCACCTCGCTGAATGGCCTGCCTGAGTTGTCGGTGCCCGACGACCGCACGTTTCCCAAGCGTATTCTCTATCCCGTCGACCATTTGCCGCTGAAGAATGCTGCCGCTGAGACTGTTCTCCAAAAGTTCTTGAGCGACGCATCTGCAGCTTTAGGCGCCGCAGTGGAGAATTTCAACCTAACGGAAACGATCGAGGAGACCACAGGACGGCCCATCTCGCAAGTCCTTGGCGATTTATTCATTCTCTGGACTCATGATCTGATCCGGAAAACTTCAGAGCCCTTGCTGGCTAAGTACAGCCCTAGCTTTCCGGCTCTTGACAACCCATACCGTGGGGTCTTTCACAGTCTCACTGTTGACGACAACACGTACAAGTCCGCAATGGCCAACAGAACCCGTGACGCGGCTGCCTGGCACGAGAAAGTTCTCTTCTCCACCAATGATTCTTGCTCAGAGTCGATTTTCGTCTACGACGTCGGAACTGGCGGTATTCCTACGTTCAGAGAGCAAGATCTCAACAGCGGTCCGGGGGCAACCCTCCCTGTCAACCCCACCACCGCTCAGGCAGCATCGACTTCGGCGTCATACTTTGGCGATGCGGATTTCACTGTGCCCATTGGTCAGGTCTCCTACTTTAGCAATGTCACCTTCCAGGAGGAGATCATGCCGGTGACTGTAAACCTTGTGGCCAAGAGGGGCTGCGACTTTGTTTTGTTCAACATGATCAACGAGTTAGTGGACAAGGGTGTCTTGAGCACGGTTCTGACGGGACAGACAGCTTTCGCTACTTGAGCCCCCCTTTTTATGTAGACAATTATGTAGACCCCATCAAGCTTGTGCAAGTTTGCAATTCAATTCAAAGGTCTATTAACATTGTTGGTATCTTTTTTCGCCACAACTCAAATACCGTATTTGTTGCTTGTGCTGATTTGGTGACCCCTCTATGCCGTTCTCGCCCTCTTGGAGGACCTCTCAGGCTCCTCCTGCTCGCCTTCCGCAGGCGCAGTGGATCCAGCAAACTCAAGAGCCTCCTTGAGCAACTTCTTCTCACCTAGACGCACGTGAATGGCCATTCTCTGTCTGGTGGTTAGATCGCTAGTAGCAAGCAGGGCCTCGTCCTCTTGAGTAGATGTGGGATACTGGCTCAAGATCTTCTGCAATGTCGAGACAATTACTGCGTGGAAGACCTCGTCTCTCTTGCGCTTGTCGGGGATCAGATCACCGTTAATCTTCTTGATAGCCTTCAAGACGGCCTTGAGCTGCTCCTCGAGCTCAGCGGAGATCTCACGGACCTCTGCGACCGTCCTGAACTGGCCTTCGGAGTCAGGCTCTCCAGATTCCCGCTCGAGAACAAAGACGTCCTCAAGTTCTTCGGGGTCAAGGTACTTCTCCAATTTTCTCATTAGCCATGATAATGTGGAGAGGGTTAAACGGCAACGTACCACTTGCTTCCAGACGTCGTCCCCAATCTTCAAGTGCTCTGAGACGCTAGTCTGCACAAGATCCCAAGGGATCTCCACCACGTCGTATCTTGAGTGCTTGGGAGTGACGTAGCCGTACCTGCGAAGCAACTCGGAGTTCGGGTGGGGGCCGTAGTAGTTGAGAATCTCCTCTCCCGCAGGAATGGGGCGGAGTGCGGTTACCGTCAGCTCATCATCTCCGTGGTTTACGTGTGCCTGAAGTTTATCAGTGGTTTCTCAAGAATTAGAGAGCATTTCCAAACTCACGTTGAACTCGGCATCGGCGTTCAAAATATCGGCCATGGGGACCATGCCCAACATGGTCTTGCCGTCACGATCCTCGATCCACTCGTCGCCCTCCTCTTGCTCAGGCTCTTCCTCATTGTCCAGATCGAAGGCATAAGCCATGATTATGCTACCCATGCGGTGGGCCAGCTGCAATAGCTCAACCTCACCAAGTGGTGAAGAGCCCTCAGGGTAGAAAACCGCTGGGTTGGCCGCGATGACTGAGAGGATGCGAGAGCGGAACATCTCGTCGGCCTCATCTTTGCCGATTTTAGACAACACTGCGCTTCCTTTCAAGTGCTCGAGGTCGGATGACTCCCAAAACATGGGAGTATCAAACTTCTCAGGGAGGACCTCGAAGTATGGCTTCCAAGGGGAGGCAGCGCCTTGAAGAAACTCGTAGATCATGACTAGAATGAGAGAGCCCCAAGAGTCCAAGGGCTCATTTTCCATGTCCTCGTCGTCGCCATCATTTCCCGTGAAAACTTGGGGAATCTTCTTGGGGAGCTCAGATGTCTCGACGTTGATGATGCTTCTCCTGGGAATTGTGAAGAGCGTTGTCTCTGTCGGTATGCCCTTGGTGGCGACTATGAAACTGTTAGTAGACACTCGCCAGAAAGTTTTGGTCTTTAGACTTGCTGATTCCTCTTCCAGCGTTCTGTCCGCGCAAATCGACAATCTCGATGTCGTTGTGGAAGGTGGCACCCGGCAGGGACTTGAACCAAGCCAGGAAACCCTGCGACTTGGTCTGAAATTCGTCACCCATGGCGTTTGCGGTTAAAAGATTGACCGCTATGAGATATTATTGGTTCAGGTTTGAATGAGATCTCGGAGAGTTGAATAAGTTTGCGCGGGTAGGGTTGTGGTGTATGATTGCCTCGTGAGTCTGGCTTTTGAGAGGGTCGCCTGCGACTCGGTAACCAAAATTTTCCCAGCTGGCAAGTACAGTGTGCGAAAAGATTTTGTGACTTTTGACTGTGTTCTTGGCGATCCGCTAGCGAAGTCACCTTACCCACAGCTCCACACTACCAAGACAACCTAACCCTCGCAGACAACAATAGACAATAGATTGCATAAAGTCACAAATCTGTCGTGAAACGTCTCGCTTGACGTGTTCTTTAGCGCACAATCTGACCGCTAAGTATCTTGAGGGAGCTCTTGTCAGACTCCCTGTTCCCCAGCTCGTCGCCGACTGACTTGAAGTGACACAGTTCACTCGTCATACTCAGCCGTAAAATGCCCAAGTACTCGCATGCAGTGCTTACATTTCAGCCTAAATAAGGACATTTTGGAAAGGTCTAGCCTCATGTTTCCTATTCTCGCTTTTGCTTTCCCCCTTGAAATCAGTGACTGGACAGCTATGAGAGGCAGCAATCAGCTCGCGGGTGTCGACATCCAGACACCACATTAGCCTCATTTGGTTCGACATTTCACACATGCGACGTTTTCCTCTTGAACAAAAGAACCAATTGGGATACTTGAGCATATACCAGTGCGCTGCACGATACACAGTCCATCATACTCGCCACATGATGAATATCATATGCGACTAACGACATGAAACTCTTTCGGTGTCTGAGCAAGTAGTTGAGATTTGCCTCTGCGAGAGGGCTTCGAAGTGTAGTGGGACGATAAAATGAGCTAGGCTCGTTGCGTATTGAGCACCCAGGAGGAATACAATATGTGACCTGTAGAACACAGCTCAGACAGCCTTTCCTCGTCAGCCATATGCAAGCCTCTTCAGCCTTTAGATCCGGCAGATCGTAATGTAATGGCTGTCAAAAGAAGTCACCGATGTTTTCCACACGGTCTGTCATCGTTCTACGAGTCCAGTGTGATGAGAGACCGGTTCAGCTAACACTTGACTTTGGTTCCCTAAGCAGAAACCTCCATATACGAGCTTGGCGAGAAAGGGGTTTATGGTGTCTCATAAGCTGAAAGCACATCAGTCTCTTTTCGTCTTGGACCTGTTGATGGGATGTGACCACATCATAAAAGGACGATGATTCCCAGACTATGGCAAGTTAGATCTCCTACTCATCCCCAAACACTCTCTCATTCACACTACCAACGCGCTCCCCCACAGACCAACTTCACTGAAACTCAAAATGCGTGCCGCCGCCCTCATCCCCTTTGCTCTAGGCCTCGTTGCCGCAATTCCCATGGGAGGTGACACTCCTCCCTTGGACCAGGTGAGGCTTGTCGACGTGAACTACGGTGGCTCTGGTTGCCCTGCAGGGAGTGTGGCCAAGTCTTTCAGTGACGCCCGCGACATCGTAACCCTCATGTTCGACCAGTACAACGTCCAGTCTGGTCCCGATATCAAGCCTGTCGAGCACCGCAAGGCTTGTCAACTCAATGTCAAGATGCACTATCCTCAAGGATACTAGTGAGTAGCACGCTGATTTTCTGCACATGACCTGGATTGCTCCCCTAGGGATACTTCCACGGACTAATTCATAGCATAGATTCTCCATCTTCCAGTCCACGGTGCGAGGCCACGTCAACCTCGCCAAGGGTGTCGAGGGTTACTGCAAGGCGACCTACTACTTCTCTGGAGATGAGAAGACGGTGAGCCTAATAATTCTTTGCCCATCCATCGCCGACAACGGACACTTACCTTTCATAAGGCCCACCGAACTTTGTCCTTCAAGGGCCCGATCAACGATGACTACACCAAGACCGACAAGTTCAGTCTTGAGTCGATCGTCTGGTCTCCTTGTGGCACCGAAGGCATGCTCAACATCAAGACTGCCATCGAGCTAAATCCTCTGAGCAGCACAAAGGCCTCCCTCATGACTGTAAGACTGTTATACGCTACTTTACCACTTCAAAGCTTACTTGAACTCTCCTCAAGGTCGATTCCAACGATCTTAAAGTACCCAGAAGTACTGTGTTCAGTGGCGCAAGTGCAAGGGTAAGGGCCAGTAAAGGCCTGCTGCAATTAATTTGCCAATCGCTGTTCGTGAAAGTGCTCTCAGACTGGTATCTGAGTGAAACTCGGTTTGGGAGATGGGATAGGTCCGATGTTTATTGTTGCAATCTTTATTGGAGACAATTTGTTCTAAAGGCTTCTGAATCTTGTGACCAAGAAGCCTTTACCACACTCATTTCATGCACTCGCTCTTATATATAACTCTGAATCGAAGCATGCTTTTGACAAAACTTCTGCTTAGATGTGCCATAATCTCAGATTTATCTCGCAAGGGAATGATTTTTTACGACTGTGCCACAAGTGGCTGGGATTTATCTCTAAGGAACCTTCGACCCTTGTGTGTGTCAAAAGTGTTTCTGCAGAACTCGGCACCTCGACAGGTTGGCCGAGTAGCATGTTCCTGGCTACAAAGCTCTCGGTGTCGTTGATCACTGGGCGAATTAACTCCAGGGATGACAGACGACGACAGAGGTAATGAGGATCGCTATAGCAATGGTAAAGACAACGGGAGCAGTGTGTTTCCCTGGCCCGTTTGAAGAACGAAATCGAGAACAAAGGTACTAAGCGGGTAAGAGAACTGCCGCCCGGCTCCAAAAGAAAGGAACATGCCCTTCTTCAACCCATAGATGCTTGACATTTTATTAGGGAAAGACTCAAGATACATCTATTTGGGAAGACTTCGTATTCTGTGTAAGCAAATCAAGGGATATCGGTAATCATTGTTTGCTGTGTTGGCTGACTAGCTGTCGGAAATTCGAGCCGCGGATGGCCACAAACGGCCACCTGAGATTCACTAAGGACTTTGAGCCCTGCTGCGTTGACCTTAAGCAGAAAAGCGCGGAACATCTACACCACATCGGTCTACGCAACCCCACTCTATACGATCCGTTCATCTTATTGTACAGATGGCCTGGGCCAGCCTACAGGAACCTCCGCGTTGACGGATCATGGTGTTAAATACATTTCTAACGCAATGGAATACAATTCCATGCTCTTTTGCTTATACATCTCTTCAGTCCACTCCTTTTGGTCCTTCGCGGATCCTCACGTTCATTCACTGACACTCTTTTGATTCCAACATGAAGTCATTCTTTCTTTCTATGGTTGCAGCGGCTGCTGCGGGCAAGGTAGCTGCGCAAGTCACCGGAGAGGCATTTGGATTTGCAGCCGGCGCCACAGGTGGTGGCGACGCAGAGCCTCAAGTTCCATCGAGCAATGAAGAGTAAGTAAATGCTTAGGACAGAGAGGTTTCGCTAGGTTAACTCGGTTTCAAGGCTTGTCGAATGGCTCACCGACAGCCAGCCCCGTACTATCATGATTGATCGTTTGTTCGACTTCCTCGAGACCGAAGGATCCACAGACGGAACATGTTGTCGAGACGAGAAATCCTACCAATGCAAGGACTCTAGCCGTCATGGTCAGGTGTACATTGGCGACGACTGTGGTGACATGCAGAAGATCTCCTGCACCTACTGGAACGCACCGACTCGACCTATCTATGTTGCCAGCAACAAAAGCATTGTCGGTGTTGGAGAAAGCGGCGTCATTCGAGGCAAGGGATTCCGCATGTCCCACGATGTCAGCAACGTCATCTTTCAGAACATCCACATCACGGAGTTGAGTAAGTAGCCCCGCCTAAGTGTGTCGCGCTCGAAGATCAGGTATGCTGACGAGGCTCACTCGCAGACCCCGAGTACATCTGGGGCGGCGACGCCATTTCCCTGGATGGCACCGATAAGATCTGGATCGACCACTGCAAGACCTCCCTCATCGGCCGCCAGCACATCGTCTCCGGATGGGGCCCCGCCGGCGCTGTTACCATCTCCCACCACGAGTTCGACGGCAAGACGGACTTCTCCTGCAACCAGCAACACTACTACAATGCCCTTCTTATCGCCTCGAAGGCGAACTACACTTTTGCCTATAACTACCTTCACCATGTCTCTGGACGCGCGCCAAACGTCGGAGGATCCGAGGAAGTCATGTTCCAAGGCGTCAACAACTTGTGGGAGGGAGACGACGATCACGCCTTTGCCATCGGAGACCATATCCAGGCCCTGCTCGAGGGCAATCATTTCGAAAATGTCTCCCGACCCATCGAGCCCAACACCTATAACAGCGCCGGAGAGATCTTCGTTGTGGAGACCTCTGCGGATGCCGCGGCCTGCCAGGGTCCCATGGGGCGTCTTTGCGAGCCCAACAGCGTTGGTGGCCAGTCTGGCGAACTGCTTCCTCTGAACAAGACCGTTGCTATCGATAAGCTCAAGTATGCGTCGGAGTCTCTCCTGAAGCCAATGAAGGTCTCGGAGGTCCCGGAGTTTGTGAAGGCCAATGCTGGTGTCGGCAAGCTTCACAACAGTAGTCCTACGGCATCATCCACTTCCACCGCTTTCCCAACCCTGCCGCCGAGCGTCAATGGAACTGCTGGCTTGGCGCCGAAAACCACTGCTGTACCGACTTCTTCTGGTTTCTTGTCTGCTGCTGCCCATTTAGTCAACGCTACTTCTTCTGCTTCTCGGCCGGCTAAGTCGGCTTGTAAGGCTAGACGGTCTCTGCGCCTCAAGCGCCTCCATTGAGCCTAGCTTCCTAAGGCCATCTGTCAGATTTCTTTCCCAACCCATACCCTTTTCCCATTCTTCTATATGTAGTTTCTAATTCCTTATCTTACCACGAGAGTTGTTCGCATTCATGGCTGTTTGAACGTCTGAAACGTGTGCTGCACCCGTCTGGTCATGTTCAATAATCATCAAAAAGCCAAACGCTGCCTGCTGTGGCCGTTTCGGCACTATATTCTTTCAGCTGAAAGGCTATAGGACGTCTTGAGGCGCCCAGCTGAAAATGTAGCGCAATTTTGGCGATGAATAACAGAGTCTTTCGCGGCTTCAAAGTCGATCTGCTGATAGGAGGCGTTACGCTAGACTACGATGAGTTCTGCTGGCAACAAAGACCGACCCGCCACCATCGTAAAGCCAAATTCAGCCTGGTTCAAGGTCCTGGGCCTGACAAGGCATTTAAAGACGCTCCGTTGGCAGTTTTGTGTCACGGCAATCTCACACTACTCATTTCCCCAGATTTTGGTATCCGACGCCCAGATCTACACTACAACCATGGCAGCCCCTCAACCAGTGACTCCTCAGCAAATCAGCCCAGAAGCTTTCCCTTCAATACAACAGCCACAAATGCATAGCCTTCCGATCAAGACTGAAACTGTTGGCGTAACCGAGCTACAGTCCTACCTTTCGGCAAACGAAAGCCCCGAGGAAATCGAGGGACCTCCGACCGGCTCCTGGTTCCGGCGCAATCGCCAGAAGGCCATCATATTCGGCGTTGTGTTCCTCGCCATCGTCATTATCATTGTCATTGGTGTTGCTGCTGGTGTCTCTACTCAACATTCGTCGCCGTCTGGGAGCAGTACCTCCACGAGCAATAGCGGCAGCGGCAACAGCGGCGGGACTACCACCACCACCACCGCGGCCGCGCACACCACAACTTCATCAAGCTCAAAATGTCATCCAGGAGGGATGCAGTGTAATTCAAGCGGGGACTGCAGCATCATTTCGGAGTTCAGCCAGTGTAAAAGGGCTTGCAACGGGTTTTCCTATTGCACCTAAATGCTGCTTTGGGCGGTGGACTGAAGACTTATACTTGGACCATGGGAGTTCATAGTTTTACTCTATTTCAAGCGCTTTGTTGGATATAATGAATCAAACTTTTGACAGATACCGCTCTTTGTGTCGTGTGTCTCTCAATACGGCGCAACATTTTCCGTCTTGCCTTCGAGTTGATTCTTTCTCCTCGAAAACTCAAAGGTCCTCTCAAATCTCAAACGACACCACTACCCCAAGTCAGCATACACGAATCATGTTAACATCAGCTTCAACTTACCTCTCCGCAACTGATCGGCTCATATTTAGGCGGGTTCTTCTCATCCGCGCACGTAGGCAGCACCGCGCACTGCTCATTGTGATTGAACCCGAAAAAGAACGGCATCGAGTACCGGTCCGTCGGCGCGTAGTTGAACACCCGGTGCACCGTCGACTTGAACCGGTCATTCGACAGCCTCTGCAGGAAGTCGCCAATGTTGATCACAAACGTGTCCGGCACAGGCGGCACCTTGATCCACTGCCCGTCCTTGGTCAACACCTGCAGCCCGCCCACGCTGTCCTGCCACAGCAGCGTGAAGCACTGCAGATCCGTATGCGCCCCGAGACCGACGTCGATCGTCGCGTCCTGCGGCTCCGTGTTCTTCGGGTAGTAATTGCACACGCTGTCGCTGCCGGGGTACGTGATGACGTCGTCAAAGTAGCTCTCCGGCACATCCAGCGCCAGCGCAAAGATGCGGATCATGCTGCGGGCGAGCGTCAGACACTCCCGCCAGTACGTGACCATGTCCTCCTTGAACCCGGGCAGGTGGCTCGTGCCCTCCCACACAAAGTCCTCGTGCTTCATCCACGGCTTCACCGCCTCCGGCACGGCCTGCGGGTCCTTGGGCTCCGGGTCGTGCGCCGGGTCGTACCGGAAGCTGAAGCCCTCGCGGTGGTCCTTGGTCTCGGTCGGCGAGATCTGCGCGGCGCGCTTCTCCGTCCAGCCGTTGAAGAACTTTGACTTTTTCTGCGCGACGAGGGCCTTTTTCTCGTTGGGCTGCGAGAAGAAGGCCTGCGCCTGCTTGAAGGCCGCGTCGATCGTCGCCTTGGGGATGCCGTGGTTCTTGATGTAGAAGAAGCCCGTGTTCTCGGCGGCGTCGCGGATGGTGGCAGCTAGGGCCTTGCGGTCCGCCTCGGCGCCGCGGATGTGGGAGAGGTCGATGACGGGGACCTCGGAGGGGGAGCAGTCCCGGGGCGGGGTGCGGAGGACGTCGCGGTAGACGGGGCCGTATGCGGACATGAGCTCGAGCTTGTAGCTCTCCGGCGCCGTTTCCGTCACCGTGGTCGACATGTTGGCGGTGTTGAGTCTAAACTGCCTGTGTTGGCAGACTGTGTGATGAGTTGCAGATGTGTACTGGTGAGATTTCTTTCTCTACGGCCTCATCATCTTTCGGTGGCGATAAGATTAATTGTCAGGTTCTGGCGCACGGATAAATAGCTTCAGACGAACGGATGAGGCCGTTCAACTCCGACGACAGGGCCTCTGGCTCAGTTCGACGAACAGCTTGAGCCTCAATTGTGGTAAAGCCTCAATGAGGCTTTATTTCGATTTCCGGCGGAGTTCACCGGATCTCGCCTAAGCTGCAGCTGCTGCGGGAGATTGCACGATAGGCGTAGATAATGGCGTGCGACGATGCGTTTTGTCGGTCCCTTATCGGTCGGAGGTCTGGGCCGACAACGACCGTGTGGGGTACGGGGTTCACCCCGGTTTTCGGAGCGCCAGGGGTTGCTTTCCCGGGGCTTGTTCTGCGGCCCATCTCGCGTGTAAGCTATGGGCGATTTGATGCTGTTCTAAGACCACGTGCTGAACATATCATGCTCTTGTAAGTATAACTCGGCTTGCACCTATCAGTTACATCCCGTTCGCCTCTCGAAACCATCGCGAAGACCACGTGCGCCCCGGAGAGGGCCGTCCTACGAGTCGCGCTGATCATGCCGCTGCGTGTAATCCTTGCAGGGGCAGCTTATCTCCCCCACATCCCACCGCGTCGACGGCACCCAGTATCTTGGGTTTATCATTGCCGCTGACGAAGAGAGTCCGATATGATTAGAATTTGAATCGCAATGATTTGGTATAAGTCGCTCGCACATATGTTGCCTCCCGTCATGCCTGCACCACGTTCATCGAATTTCGTGCTGTTCGTACAGCGGGTGGGCGGGCAACTTTAATCAACTCCCTAGGTGAACACCGGATTGAACTTCAACGAACGGTTAACCAAGATGGGCCTGCTCAACCGCCTCCGGGTCCCCCCGGCCGCCGGCACCCTCGAGGGCCGCGACGCCCTCCTCAACAACGACGACATCCGGCCCCTCAAGCTCGCCGACCGCACCTGGACGCAATGGACATACTTTACCTTCTGGTTCTCCGCCGTCGCCACCGTCTCGAACTGGTACGCCTCCTCGACCGCCCAGGCCCTCGGCCTCTCCATGTGGGAGTCCCTCGGTTGCGCCTTCGGCGGCCAGTGCCTCATCGCCGTGATCATCACCCTCAACGGCCGCCCCGGCGCCACCTACCATGTCGGCTTCCCCGTCTTCTGCCGCACCGCCTTCGGCGTCTACGGCGCCTGGTGGCCGACCTTCAACCGCGCCGTCATGGCCATCGTCTGGAACGGCGTGAACGCCGTCCAGGGCGGCCAGTGCATCTATGTCATGCTGCACGCCATCATCCCCGGCATCGCGGACATACCCAACACCATGGGCGAGGGCAGCGCCCTCACGACCGCCGGCATGATCGGCTTCGTCATCTTCTGGCTCATCACCTGCGCCTTCCTCGTCATCCCCGTCCCCAAGATGCGCGGCCTCGTCTACGCCAAGCTCGCCGTCTTCGTCGTCTCCGCCGTCGCGATGCTGGCGTGGACCGCGACCAAAGCCGGCGGCCTCGGGCCCGTCGTCCGCCGCGGCGGCACCGCGACCGGGTCGACCCGCGCGTGGCTGATTGTGCAGTTCTTCATGCTCGGCGCGGCCAACTGCGCGACCTTCGCGTCCAACGCGGCAGACTTCCAGCGGTACGCCCAGAAGAAGAACGACGTGATCCTGGGCAACATCTTTGGGTTCCCCGTGGCCAACTTGATCGTCGCGGCAGTGGGAAACCTCGTGTGCGCGAGCAGCGAGCTGATTTTCGGGGAGCTGGTGTGGAATCCGGTCACACTGTTGGATAACCTGCAGACGGCGGAGTATACCGCCGCGAACCGCGCGGGTTGCTTCTTTATTGCGGGATGTTTTGCGTACTGCTGCATCTTCAGCTCGATTTTCGAGAACTCGCTGCCGGCCGGTAACGACATCGCGGCTTTGTTCCCCAAGTACATCACCGTCAGGAGAGGTTTCTTCGTTTGCGCCGTCATCTCGTTTGCAATCAACCCCTGGTTTCTGCTGGTAAGTCATGTGCCGTCCGTCTCAACGAATCCTAAGATGCTAACAAGCGCAGGGCTCCGCGTCGGTGTTTGTCTCCTTCCTCTCCTCCTACCAGACTTTCCTGTCTGCCATCACCGGCGTGCTGCTTGTGAACTACTACCTCATCGGCCGCGGCCGGATCCACATTCCCGACGCCTTCACCTCGATGAAGTCAGGCGCATATTACTATACTCACGGCTGGAACATCCGCGCCTACGTTGCCTACATCATCGGCATCATCCCTAATTTCTACGGCTTCCTCAATAACATGGGTGTTTCAGCGCCGATTGGCGTCACAAGATACTACTACTTTGCTTACTGGGTTGGACTTGCTCTGTCGGGCTTCACCTTCTGGGCGACGTGCAAGATTTGGCCGCCGCCGATCATGGAGGAGAAGTGGGTGGAGCCCAGGGACTATGTGAGACCTGAGGAAGACGGCGATGCCCAGGTTATCGAGGCTGTAATAATGCCCGAGAACGTTGACATGAAAGGCCCGGATGAGAAGGTGGCGATGAAGGTGTAAAACAGCCCGACGCTGCCATGTGCGGAGGATGAGGCACGTTGAGACTCCATGTAAGATTGAAATAGAAGATGCCCCCTTTTGGTGGGTGAATGACGTCTAATATGTTTGCGCCGGCTCTGAATACCCCCGGCAAGTGTCTTAAAATGAGTCGCTAATGTCGTTTACATATAAATACATTTCTCTGGCCCCGTGATATTTGCCGATGATCTAGTAAAGCGTCACGGATGTAACGTGGATGATGGCGTCGATGTATGTCCTGTTCTCGATGGAGCATGACGTGCCAGGCTTCAGTTTGAACATGCCATTCGGCCCAATCTGAAAAGGGTCTGTCATGTCCAGCTTCACCTTGACTTTGCCCACGGCGACAGAGCATATGCGCACCTTGTCCTCCTCATCGGTCCAACGATGAGAGCCGCCAGGCTTGATAACGATGACGTTAAAAGCAATATCTTCTGAGACGCTGACGGCTTGGTTGGATGTAAGGTATGCATTCGAGAATGCCACGTCTGCGAGTATGTCAGTGAAAGATGCATGACGTGACGGCTAATCATCGACTTACTCGTCGGTTCCTGGCTCTGGTCGTCGCGAACACGTCCAGGAGCGATTTCCCACTCTTCCATGTCCAAGAGCTCTGCTGGCATTGTCTGACCTGCATTGGGAGGGACGATAGCGACGGGAGCCGGTTTGGTAGAAGAGGTCGACGCAGGGGCAGAGTCGGAAGCGGTCTTTGTGGCCGCAGAATGCCTCGTAACTCGTCTCGGCGGGCTGCTTGGTCTCGACGTATTCACAGGCGTTGTGCCGACGGGAGGTGTGGTGATGGCTGGGGAACAGTGAGCCGGTGAATTCACACCGGATTGGTCATCACCAGCAGGTCCTCCATAAGGAAATTTGGCGTTTTTGGGCAGGCTGTAAGATGGCGGTGCAGACGAGGGAGGGATGGCGGGAGGCGGAATAGGAGTAGGAGTTGCGGCAGGTGCAGGGGATGGTAAAGCAGTCAACGTCCGCCCTCTAAAGGCTGGCAGAAAATCGCATTGCACTTTCTGCCTTTTGTAATTGCACCGCCACTGGCAGGATGCGCATGCTTCGTTGACGGTCTCCTTGAGCCACGAAGGTGCTCTGCTGGAAAGGACGATACATGGGCGAAGAGTGTTTTCGAACGCGTCGTGATCTGGCCCATTGCATGTTGAGCATGACACAGGCGCAGGATCGCCAGCCAAAAACACCAAGAGCGAAAGTGCAGTTAGGGGCGCCAAGTTCCCAACGCCCGAGTGCTTCATCGTCCACTGGGGAGGGAAATGCCTTGCCATTGGTAATTTCAATAGAGCCTTGAAGTCCGGTCTCTCGGCCGGGAGTCTGTAAGTCGGTGACAGTTGAGAGGTGAGGTACCCCAATAAGGTCATGGGTTTTGCAGATTGGAAATATGACGGTTGTGCCAGCTCGTGGTGGTTTGGTAGGGTCGAGTAAGGGGCAGCGTGCGAGCGTGTTGTCCTGGTCGCTGTCGTTTGTGGTTGGGGTTGTGAGAGAGGTTGTGACAAAGGCTGAGGTTGAGGCATCCCCGCTGCTGATGACATCGCTTGAACCTTTGAACCATATGGCTTATAGACTGTGGTCTGCGGTTCTGGCATCGGCGGCTCGTCACCCTGAAGCGGGTTTCTAGAAACTATGACTGGTGAGGCTCGTGTTGTTCCCGGAATGTCAAAGAAGCTGACAGCCGAAACGGTGCCATCTAAGTTGTCGTTGTACATGGTGTTTCGATGCCTTGCCTATGGTGTTGTCAGCCACGGTGGCCCTATGCACACAACCTCGTAACTTACCCCGAAGTGCTTTCCGAGCCCCTGAATCGACCTGAAGATGAAGCGACACACGCGATCGGGGCAGATGAATGGATACTGGGGATCGGAGTGCAGCGTGTATCCAGTGGGCAAAAGCGCGCCGCATGACGCTTCCAGCGGGGCATTCTCCCCCTTCCATTGGCAATACAGACGGTCGCCGTCGTTGGTAGTTGTAAGCTCATTTTCGGGTCGCCCATACAACTAACAAGACAAGTACCGTTAGTATGTGTTTGGAGAGGAAGGCCTTGGTTTTCACTGACTGATGGTAACACTTTGGGCGGGCGAGGTGGCGGGTCAGCGTTTCCGCTGTCAAGCTGGACCGGAGCATCGGGCTCAGAGTCGGAGTCGGAGTCGGTTGAATCATCGTCGAGCATGCCATTGTCGTCCGAGGATGATACAGATAGGGGTTGCCTCTTGATGGGGATGAATCCCGGTTTGGCGCTGGACGTTGGCTCAGCAGACGTTGATGTTGGCATCGACTGTCGACTCGACCCATGGTGGGCCGTGGTATCCTCCGATCCAGATCCCACGCCATTCTCGGTCAGCCTGCGTTTGGAGTCACCGCCCGACAAACCCGATGACTGTTTTCTCTTCGCCTGTAACGCCTGAGTCCAATTGAGAGCCGGCCTTGAAGGCTGAACATCTGCAGTGCATGTTAGATTGTGCTCTTCGAGGTCCATCCAAGCAGATTTTGGCCTCCTCAGCTATGCCAGGCTTGGCCTCGAATCATCCATAGGCGCACTCACCGCCACTTGATACCCGTCCAATAATCTCCTCTGGTTCCTGGGAATCCGCTGAAGTCGACTTGGCCTGCCACGACTGCTGCAATGCCTGGATCTTGGAGCTCATCGACAGTGACGGCTTGGCAGGTGTTACATCCTCCAACGGCGTGTCCTCAGGGCTGAATTCCGATTTCACGGGGCCTTCAGGATTTGAAGGCAGGATATCGCTCTCAATACGAATGGGCTCCGGGCTGTCCAGGACCATGCTGTGGTCCTGAGTTGGCGGGGCGAGGTTGGGCACCCCGGCTCCAGAGATGGGGTTGGCTCCCGCTGGCGTTGCTAATGGTCCGGTCGAAGTTGAAGTGGACGGCTTAGAGCTCAGAAGTGAAGCTGCCCACGGAGGCGCCTGCAGGAATGCGCCGGGCTTGACGTTCACCTTGGCACTAGTACGCTTCATCTTCCTCGCGGGGTCCTCTCCTGCGCTGGAAACCGACGATGGTGAGGCATTGCGGTTGGCGGCGGTTGAATTCAGCACCTTCGTTGCCGACGTGGCGGGAGCCGACTGAGGCGGTGGTGCGTGGCCGGGTACAGGGATTGGTATGGGTGTGGTGCGTGGGGGGTTGGATGCCATCATCGGGTTTCTTTGTCGTCGCGAATGCGATACCCGTTTGAGCGAGCATGCGCTGCACGGGGTACCTGCTGTGGAAGCTGACGACGTTGTTGGTGACAGGCTGAAGCGCCCTCAAAGTCGCAGAGGCCTCGATATCGTGAGCGTGTCAAGTCTGCGTCGAAATCGGCGCCTCCCGGTCGTTGATGGCGATCTTAATGAGCGATTCTGGATGTTGAATAGTAGGAATGAAGTGAAGACGTTTCGTGGGAGACGCGACCGGGACGCTGGACGCGACTAAAGTGGCAGGGACCAGGGCATGTACCTGCCGCGGGAATTCAGCAGTGAGGTACAAGGAAGGCAAGACCCACCCCCACTTGGAATATCTCCAAGCTCATATGAAAGGGAAGGAAGAGTGAATCTACGGTTAAGACTCCTTCCAATTCAGAAAGGTGATTTTTTAGTATTACCAAGGGTTATCCAGACAAATTCATCATTCGCTCATGCCTGTTAAATTATAGGGGGGTTACTCTCACCAGACGTATCGCTTGAATAACAGTAACCTCAGAAGAAATTCAGAAGATGAAAGAAAAAACAATGGACTACGACCGGAGATATATAGGGCCACCTCAAGAACTCGAACCATCAACCTCTGCCGAAACCAGGCATACAATCCACCTCTAGGCCATCTTGCGACGGTCTGTTCGCCCATTGTTGGCAGTCTTGGGAAGTGAGGTGAGCTACCAAGGTAGCCGCTCCGCTACACACAGCACACACAGCACACACACGCAGTGTCATGGATGGTCTGTATGATTTGTACAAGATATTCTACATCTACGCCCAAGACCTGTCTCAAGATCCCAGGCCGTACTACACATCCCCCCCTCATCCCCTCACCAGATGCAGCCGCACTACCACATCACCGCTTCGCCTTCTGGGCCTTGGCCGCCTTCTTCGCAGCCTTCTGCTTCGCCTTGACGTTCTTGGCCCGGCTGGCAGCGTTCCTCTGCTCCTGGAGCCTCTTGCTCGCCGCAATGGTCCACTCGTCAATCTCCATGTCCGCAAACTTGGCCGCCGCCGCCCTCTGCCCCGTCATCATCTTCTCCTTGGCCCACCGCTTATGCCTGAACCGCGCCTTGCGGCTCATCCCGCCCGTCTTGAGCTTCACCAGGCGCCCGATGCGCCAGTTGTCCTCGCGGTACGAGTAGTCGTCGCGCAGCTTCAGCACGCGCGGCGGCTGCGTCGCCACGCCCTTGGTCGTGCGCGGCGCCGCGCGCACGACCTGCGTCGGGATGCCCGAGGCGGACACGGCGGGCGTCTCGACGGGCTTCGAGATCGGGTGCGCCGCCATGTTGAGCTTGCGCTTGCGCTCCGCGTGCGTCGGGTACGGCAGCACGTCGTCCTTGTTGAAGACGACGCCAATGTACTTGCGGTCCGGGTGCCGCGCCGGGTCGCGGTAGTACTTTACGTAGCCCGAGGCCATGGCGTGGATCGTGTGGTCGCGGCCCATGATGCAGTTCTCGCCGGGCCACCAGAGGGAGCCGCGCTGCTTGTAGATGATGTTGCCGGGGATGACATACTGGTCTGTGATGTGTGGGGAAAGGTTAGCAAAACCCGACCAAAAGGCTCAATTGCAGTCTCCCCCCCCCTCCTGCTCCTCCTCCGAGAGACCATGTATTGTGTGATCACGTACCACCCGTCCGCTTCGCTCCCAGCTTCTTCGGTATCGTCCTCTTGGGCTGCAGCTTGTAGGCACCCTGCGACTTGACGGAGGCGTATCGGCGTCCGGCAACGAGGGCATTCGCGGCTGCCACGACGGAGGGCTGCTGGGTCGGGAGGACCGTCGGCCGGAGGAGACCGGCGGCAGCGGCCCTCAAGGGCTGCTGCATTCGGAGTAGACGCATGAGGTGTGTTTCGGGGACGGGCTGCCCATTCGTCGTCGGATGGATTGGCTGGCTCGGCGATCGCGAATTTCGAGGGACCTTGGAGTTTGCCCAGGGAGATCGCCTGAGGATATTTTTCCGGCTGAGTCAGCGGGGTGCGATAACGATAAGGATGACCGTTGGTCGTGGTGGGTGTCCTTGGTGCATGTGTCTTTTGGACAGCTGGGCGCATTCAGATGCAAGAACAACGACAACGCATGCACAAACATTCGCTCACCTAAAATCACTGCAAAACACGTTTACAATCGCTGAATTGCTTCTGAAACCAAGTGCCCACGATGCGCCTCCTCGCCTCCCTCCCCATCGTCTTGCTCTCCCTGATTAGCTCGACGCAGGCCCAGTTTGGCTTCTTTGAGCAAATGTTCGGCGGCCAGCAGCAGCAACAGCAGCCCCAAAACGTCCCCAGCGACCCGTCGCAATACCAGCAACGATATGACGGATGTGAGTACTTGCTAGGAGGTTGGTTATCATGAGGATCCAAAAGCTGACGCCTTGCAGCCTACTGTGAACACTACCTCTGCCCTGACACCCTCGCCTGCGTCCACTTCCCGCACCACTGCCCCTGCCCCTGGCCCGCGAACCAAGACAAAGTCGAGCTCGCCGAGGGCAACCGCATCTGCGTTTCGAGGGGCGGCTTCGCCGCCGGCGAGGCGGCAAGGAAGGTCGAGCTTGCGCGCAAGGGCATGCTCTGAGAGATGATGATTGCTAGACTCTAGAGAATGATGGGAACACCAAGCATCGCAGGCGCAGGATACCAATGGACACGTCCCCACGGGGCGGCCAGCAAAATGTCACAGTTATTATCTCACGAATGGGACCGGAGTTGTTAGGCAATGGAGACTCTATTGAATATGCCATTTGCCGGCGGAAGCAAAAAGCCTACCTACTCGTGCTGATACGCTCCTGCCTGGTGGCGGTGTTGCAACCACCTGACCACCAGGAAGGAGGGGCGCCTGCTGCAATACTGGTGAATCGCGACGATTACAGACACGAAGGCCCCGGAACGCCGCAAAAACCATGCGTGATAACCACCCAGAACTCCTTCGTGTGTCACCACGCCGTTGCCGGATGCTGATCTCCACCTCGACCCCAAAACAGGTAAACAATCCGTTAAAATGCTCGTAATACGTCTCCCGTGACATGTCTTCTCTCCTTGACGCGGGCGCAGCCAAACGGTGGACAAACCGCCGAGCCAGCCGGCCAAAACTCATTCGCGATGTTCGTTGATGGTGTTGGGGCTCAGGCCTGGCCGTTGGTGGCCTGACTGGGTCGTGGAAGAGCAGGGACAGGAGGCGGGTTGGCGGCGTCTTCGTCGTCCTCCTCTTCGGGTAGTTCCTCGGGGTGGCCCAACAAGTGGGCCACATCCTTCATTTCGTAGTGCTTCTTGCGCAACTGCTCGAAACGATGGTGCTTCTCCCTCTCCTCGGGGGAGAGACCAGCCAGGTCATCCTCGTCGCCGCCGTGAGAGGAGTCGGTTTCCTCGACGTGGACGGCCTTGAGGGCCTTTTCTTTTGACGACTCGCTCTCCGGGACCGCCTCTTCCGGCTCGCCAAGCGACATGACAGGGATATCATCTTCCACGCCAGGGCCAGCACGAGCCGTGCGAGGCTTGCGCTCAACGGTCGGGTCTTCCATCTCTTCGTCTTCGGAGGGGTCCTCGGTGGGGTCATAGTGCTTAGCGTAGGGGGTCTTGGGCTCATCGATCTTCATGGTCGAGGAGCGCTCCTGCTCGGTGAGGTACAGGTTCGCCTCGTCCCACTTGAGGCGCTGGGAGGACTCCAAATCCTGCTCGTCGTCGCCGTGAGCGGAAGGGGTGTGGCTGGACTGACGGCGGGAGCCGGAGGGGCGGGCGGCGGAAGAGGAGCGACGGTGGCCGGCGTTGTACTGGGTGTTGACGATGGTGAGCTCCTTTTCGGTGAGAGGGTGCTCTTCGCTGGGCGAGGTGGGCGGAGATCTTTGGAACGAGTTCTTGAGGATTCCTGCAAACGATATCAGTCAGTCTTGCAGCTCTATCGTGCATCGTGGGATTTGCGCCGGTCGGTAGAGAGGGAGAGCGAGGACTTACCCTTGGGTCGCTTCGCGTTGTGGCCCGGAGGGGAATGCGACGGGGGGCTGTGATCGACGACGGCTGCCATTTTGAAGTAGTTCGCGGGTGGATGAACTAGGCCGGACGAGCTTAGGGTTGATGGTTTGGTGTTGTTGCTAGAGGGAAGAAGTTGCGGACGTGATGCGAAACTCGTGAGGTGTGATGGTGTAGGTTGTGTTGTGGCTTTGGTTTACCAGCAAGGAAGTTGTGTAGTCACAGATGTGGGCAGGCAGTAGGTAAAAAATAGCGGGGTTCCGTAAATCTGGTGACGAAGGTGGTCGGTCGGTTTGCCGGGGGGGTCTTGAGGAGTTGAAGGCGACGGACAGGACTCAGGACGGAGAATGGGGTGGTGCAGGTGAGGCCGGGTGGTTCGTGACCTGCAGAGGGCGTTATGGGTACCTGTACCAGTACCAGTACCTGTGGAGGGATGGTGCGGGTGTGGTGCGGTTCGCTCAGTGGTGCGCTCAGTGTGGTGCAGCAGGGTGGGTGCGCCGGACCAGGGGCTGACACTGGCACTGCTAGAGACAGAGACCTGACAGAGAGACCTGAGAAAGATAGATGGAGAGAGGAGGCTCGTGATGTTTGTGAAACAAGAGGGGAAATGCGATGGATGATGGATGGCGACAGAGGGCGAGGACGAGGGCGAGCAGACAGAGGAGGAATGTGACGAGGTTGTCGGGGCGAAGGGGCGGGTGTCGGCAGAGGGGGATGGGTGATCCAGGAATAGAAAAGGAGACGAAAGACGGTGAGGTGTGATGGAGGTCACTGGTGCCCCAGAGGTGGTGATGAGGGTGGCAGGTGAGGCTTTTGGGGTATTGCTGCTGCTGGGGATGTCTTATACAATCACACTCTGGAATAAGAAGAGAAGAAGATGCACGAAGCAGGTGCCGGGTGCAGGTGTAGTTAACAAGACACGACACGTGAGGGAAGGGATGCTCCCAAATAAGTCAGTTACGGATGCCTCTCATCGTCAAGTCGTCTTCTTCCTGTTTTTTGAACCTCATCCAACAAGATGGCTCCCTGCTTCGCGATGGAGGGTGAGGGTGTGGAGATGGAGGCTGGGGGTACCTCTGTGCCTCTCTCTGCTGGAGCGGCTTCACTGCAAAAGTCACGGTTGGAGCGTCCTAAGAACTTGACGTCGGGTGTCACTGCAGCATTAGCCTCTGCTTAGGTACTGTAGCTTACCTACATACCTACCTAGCTTATTAGGCACCTACCTCTCTAGCTTATGTTTTTAGTTGAGGTAAGGTAAGGCAAGGAAGGCATCTTGAGGTGCCGTACACATCAGGTACCGTGCCTCGCCCAAGATAAACTGAGGCGAGCAAGGCGCAGCAGGACACCAACTGACGGGAGGGGGCATCTTGGTGCCTGTTTCGACTACATTGGCCGCCAGTGCCCATGGCGGGGTTGGGCTTGCCTCAGGCTGCTCGGGCTGCCACTGCCAGCGCCCGTTGGCCGCCAAACTGTCGGACACGGCGACTGGTGGAACCTGCTGGACAAAAGAGAGCCCGGCCCGGCAAAAGTACCCGCTACTTGCTTCTTGTTACCGGCGCGCAATCCGGATTGGACGACGCCGGCAGGTGTGGACCCTGGAACATGCAGGACCTCCCTTCAGAGTCCAAAGTCCAGGGCAGGTCCTCAGCCGTTAAGCGATAACGACTATTGAAGCGACGATAAATACTGGAGTACGACGATAAAGTAGAATAGCTATAGGAAAAGTAGTCGACATAGCACAGGACAAATAGGCGGTCTCATCGCACCGCCCGAAAATCATCCTATTTCCAGATCTGCATCCTGCTGCGTTCGTTCGACAAGGTAAGCTGTACTGTAATTCACCTCAAGTGCGCCACTGGCTCGCTCCTCTTCCGACTCTTTCCCTCGCCTCCGGAATCCCATCCGCACCAGGCCCGAACCAGCTTGAATTGACCATTTTACGCTTCAGCCGCGGCATTTCGAGCCGGCCCGCTCCCATTGACTGAGCTGCATCGTCAAACTCGCTTCCTGACTGCTGCTGCCTCCAACCTCACATTATTCGTATTACCTTACTCCTCCCTCGCTACCCCCATCGTGACGACGTCATTCGACATGCATCACCCCTCTCACACCACCACCACCACCACCCACAAACCATACAACGCTGAGCTCAGACTCAATCCCTTCCTCACCTTGGATTCCCCTCAATCGCATCCAGCAAACCGTGCCTGTCATCCCAAAAACATGACCTCATGCAGACACTCAAATCCAACTAGACTCTTCCCCAGACTTCATGCACTCCAGCTAAACCTAGCCCGGAAGCCCTATTCATTCTCTGTACTGCGTAGGGGCCTTCCTCCCAGATAATGAAGTTAATCGATCCTCACTCCGTCATCGACAGACGGCCCCCGACGCCGGCACGCAACCATCTACGTCTTTGCCAGTCCAAAATCCGGGGTGCATCCAAGTCAGCAAGTCAGCACTTGGTGGCTCTTCTTTGAATTCTGTCGCCAAAACATTTGCCGATCCGTCCCCGCTCCGCACTCGGCCAGTCAACCTTTGCTGCGTGCGCGCTGCCGTAGTCCCGGTGGTCAGACATTGCCTTTCTCGCTGCCACTCTCCTTCCGCCTTCGGTGTCCGTCCAATCTGTCCGACGTCTCGGAACCCCGTTGCTATGTCGCTTTGACCCTCCGACTATCATCACATCATTTCCCAAACGGCCCGCTCTCTGCCGTTGTTTCTTCTTCCTCATCCGGCCGCTCATCCGCCGTGTGTTTAATCCCCGTAGGAGACCCCGTTGAACCGCCCGTCTGGGTTCCACTAGAATCCCGGATGGAATCTGCATGAAACATTCCATGAGTCGGGAACAAACAAACATCCTGATGCGGGTCGCAAACAAACC